AGCAGGCACCCTTGAAGCAGCTGCCACCCTGCATCGACGCCTACTGCATCGAGTCCTTATGGTGAGGGGCTGGGACCTCAGGGGTAGGGGAGCGCAATCCTAGCCCTGTGGAATGTCCTCCCAATACTCGGGCTCCACTGGGGATGGGAGAGTCTTTCCTGCCCTGGGATATTCTTCCTCAAGCTCTGCCAATCTCTCCTCTCTGCCCCCAAATTCTGGGGATATTTTAGTCCTTCCCTATTCTCTATCTTAGGCCTTCCCCTCCACCCCACCTCCCCCAGGGCTGCCCACCAACCCCTTTTCTGTCAGATTCTGCCCTGGCCCAATCAGCCTCCTTCTCCCAGGCACCAGTAACTTTCTTCAATGCTACACCCACGGGCCGGATCCTAAACCGCTTCTCCTCTGACGTGGCCTGTGTGGATGACAGCCTGCCCTTCATCCTCAACATCCTCCTGGCCAACGCGGCAGGCCTGCTGGGGCTCCTGGCTGTGCTGGGCTCTGGCCTGCCCTGGCTGCTGCTGCTGCTGCCGCCTTTGAGCATCATCTACTATCACGTGCAGCGCCACTACAGGGCCTCCTCACGGGAGCTGCGGCGCCTGGGCAGCCTCACCCTGTCTCCACTCTATACCCATCTGGCTGATACCTTAGCTGGCCTCTCTGTGCTCCGGGCCACAGGGGCCACCTACAGGTGTGTGAACCAGAGCCCGGGGGGATGAGGTGTTGAGGGGAGAGGAAAAGAGAGACCCCTGAGAAGAGGAATATGCAGGGTATGGTTGGTTCAGCCCTCCTGGGGACAAGGGGTGGGGAAGGAGGAAAGCAACAGAAGAAGGACATAGGGAGGCAGAGCAGACACCCACTTTGAAAGAGCACACTGGCATCTGCAGCCCTGCGGGAGGCCTGTGGGTATATAGATCAGCTGCCAAGAAGGAACTGCCCAAGAGGGCCTTCCCTGTGGAGACCCTGAGGCTGGGTGGCTCAGGGCAGCAGTGGAGTGGCCGGCCTCACATCCATCTGGCCTTCCCTAGGTTTGAGGAGGAGAACCAGCGACTCCTTGAGCTAAACCAGAGGTGCCAGTTTGCCACCAGTGCCACAATGCAGTGGCTGGACATTCGGCTACAGCTCATGGGGGCAGCAGTGGTCAGCGCTATCGCAGGCATTGCCCTGGTGCAGCACCAGCAGGGCCTTGCTAACCCAGGTGCCACCCAGGACCCCTCACCCCTACCTCACCCGCAAGTTGGTCCACCCTTCTCCCAGATCTCTCCCTGCACTGTCCCCCCAACATTTTTGCCTCCCACCCAGGGTTCCTTGTGAGGGTGTATCATGATTATCATCATCACCCCCGTTTGGAGTTGAGTGACAGTCCCCAGGTGGTGGTGGCGGCTCGGGGACTAGAATGAGTTTTCTGAGCTGCTGGTCTCAGTCCCTTTCCTGCTTTTACCCCGTCCCCACCACACTGCCCCAGCCCACTTCAGTATCCCACATGCCATCCCTCCCAGCTTCTCCATGCCCACCCTGTGCCCTGCATCCAGCCTCCTGTGCTCCAGGCTAGGTCCTGTCACCCTCCTGCTTCTCTGTTGCTTCCTTTTTTTTTTTTTTTTTTTTTTTTTGATGGAGTTTCGCTCTGTTGCCCAGGCTGGAGTACAGTGGCACGATCTCAGCCCACTGCAACCTCTTCCTCTTCCTCCCGGGTTCAAGTGATTCTCCTGCCTCAGCCTCCTGAGTAGCTGGGATTAAAGGCATGCACCACCACGCCTGGCTAATTTTTGTATTTTTAGTAGAGACGGGTTTCACCATGTTGGCTAGGCTGGTCTCAAACTCCTTACCTTGTGATCCACCCGCCTCGGCCTCCGAAAGTGCTGGGATTACAGATGTGAGCCACCACGCCCAGCCTCTGTTGCTTCCTTTAAATGCCCGCAGTCCACAGCTTGGGGAGTCTCCCATACACATCCCAGTGTCCAAGCTCTCCCAGCAGCTGTTATCCTCTCCCCCAGGGCTGGTGGGCCTGTCGCTGTCTTATGCCCTGTCCCTGACGGGCCTGCTCTCGGGCCTGGTGAGCAGCTTCACACAGACGGAGGCCATGCTGGTAAGCGTTGAGCGGCTGGAAGAGTACTCCTGTGACCTGCCCCAGGAACCCCAGGGCCAGCCACTGCAGGTAGGCCTGTACCCCGACCCCAGGCCAAAGCTCTGGAACCCTGAAGACCCCAGCCTCCCCCGCAATTTCTTTCTTTTTACCCACCCATCTTTCTCAGCTCCCATAACCTCTCTTCATGATGACCAAAATTCTTCACCATGTCCCTTCTTCCCCATCTCTTATTCTCTCACCTTTCCTCTCACACTGTTCATTTCTCATTATTCTCCCCTCCTCACCATTGCTCCTCATCTCCCCCATCTCCCTCTTCCCCTCTGTCTCCCACCCATGGACTCCACCAGTTGGGCACCGGCTGGCTGACCCAGGGGGGCGTGGAGTTCCAGGACGTGGTGTTGGCGTACCGGCCAGGGCTGCCGAATGCCCTGGATGGAGTGACCTTCTGCGTGCAGCCTGGAGAGAAGTTGGGCATCGTGGGCCGCACGGGCTCCGGCAAGTCCTCCCTGTTGTTGGTGCTCTTCCGGCTGCTAGAGCCCAGTTCAGGGCGAGTGCTGCTGGATGGCGTGGACATCAGCCAGCTGGAGCTGGCCCAGCTCAGGTCTGGAGGAGATGGACTTGGGAGGGGAAGGGGGAACCAGAACTACTAGCACTTAGAGGAGGGCACAGCTAGGAAGGCTTTATATAAACTCAGGGCAACTAGGGCTGATCAAGGGGCTGAAACGGAGGACAGGATGAGCAGGCGAGGACAGAGAACTCCTAGTGCCCAGGTCCAGATTCATGGCTGGTGATCTCAAGGTCGTCCTTGCCCTGACCCTTTCCAGCTGCATCTTTCTTGTACTTCCCACCACACATCCTCCACTCTTGTGCCCCAAGATACTGATCCCTTGAGCCCTCAGGCTCAGCAGGCAGTGCTTCGGACAGCTTGAGACCTGAGCCAGTTGCCCTTGGCTTCAGGTGGCCCCACTGGAGGGTATACATCCCTTCTCTACCCTCAGGTCAACCTAATATCATTTTCTGTGAGTACAGTGACATGGAAAAGGTAGGGAAGCTGTATCCTAAAGCCCTAGGCCTGCCTCTTCTGCCTTCTCTCCTAAGCTGTGGTGGCCCTACCTTATAACTCTACCATGTCTTCAGGACCCAATTATAGGCCCACTCCAACCTTGAAGTGTCACCTGCCCTTTCATTCGCTCTGGTCATTCCCTGCGTAGCCACTGCTGCCCCTGGAGTCAGTGCCACACAGTTTAGCCCATTTGTTTTCTCTGGTTTGTGTGTGTACACCTCCGTGAAATGTAGGCTCCTTGAGGACAGAGTCCAGCCTTTGGTTTCTTTGGTATTGCTTATAGCATTGGCACAGTTCTAGGTACCCAGCTACTAGCGGATCATTTGGTGGGGAGCAGAGTGGGGTTATGTTCAGGTCTCATCCCCGGGCTTTCGTGGAGGTGCTAGTGCTATAGTCAGAAACTGAGCTGGGAGCAGAAGTGGCTACATCTCCAACCGCTGGACTCCATGTCATTGTCCCACAGATCCCAGCTGGCTATCATCCCCCAGGAGCCCTTTTTGTTCAGTGGGACTGTTCGAGAAAACCTGGATCCCCGGGGCCTACATAAGGACAGGGCCTTGTGGCAGGCCCTGGAGCAGTGCCACCTGAGTGAGGTGATTACCTCCATGGGTGAGTGCTGGACCCTTACCCTAGAGCAAGAAGGGGGCAGGGAGGGCCTGGGCCCTGCAGTGAAGATGCTTTCCTTGCAGGTGGTCTGGATGGTGAGCTGGGTGAGGGGGGCCGGAGCTTATCTCTTGGGCAGAGGCAGCTGTTGTGTCTGGCCAGGGCTCTCCTCACAGATGCCAAGGTAAGGTGAGAGAAAGAGACAATAGAGAGGGCCAGGAAGGAGGCGGGGGGCAAGGGGGTGGGGAGGTGGAGTCCGGAGAAGTTTTAGGGGACCAAGTTCATTTTCCTTTTAGAGCTAAAAGTGTGGTAGGGGCTGTTGCTTGGGCCAGGCCCAGCCCACCCTACAGCCTCTCCTTTGTTATCCCCTACCGCATTCCCATATTCCAGATCCTGTGTATTGATGAGGCCACAGCAAGTGTGGACCAGAAGACAGACCAGCTGCTCCAGCAGACCATCTGCAAACGCTTTGCCAACAAGACAGTGCTGACCATTGCCCATAGGTGTGCAAACACCCAGTGACAGCCTAATCAGGGACTGTGGTAGCATGCACCCAAAGCCTCCATTGCTTTCAGGGACCCCAGTGGTCAGGGTCTTAGAGATCCTGCCCCCCAAATCTCAGCTCTTCCTTCTCCAGGTACTGCCTAGGGCCCTTTATAGCACATTATCTGAGGGACTTTGCAGTCCCTTCCCCAGCACCAAGCCAGGGGCTAAAGCCTGTGGGGACAGACCTGTGGTGTCCCGAGGGGAGAGGAGGGAAAGCAGGTCAGTGTTCTCACTTAGGTCATTGTCCCTTATCCCTTACACTGACCATCTTCCCCATCACAGGCTCAACACGATCCTGAACTCAGACCGGGTGCTGGTGCTACAAGCGGGGAGAGTGGTAGAGCTGGACTCCCCGGCCACCCTGCGCAACCAGCCCCACTCGCTATTCCAGCAGCTGCTGCAGAGCAGCCAGCAGGGAGTCCCCGCCTCACTCGGAGGTCGCTGAGCTCCATCCCACACCCTGCAGTGTTCTCCCCTCTCTCTGATCCAGGCCGGGCCTGTATAGAGGTGCTGGCTGCTTGTTTACATTCTCCTCTGGGGCTCTACCTCTCCACACTTCCCCAGAAGGGAAAAGGGCACCCTGGGTTACTCTTTGGAAATCACTCCTTGGTGGGCAGCATCCTGAGGCTTCCCCAGAACCAGGCCTCTGCTCTGGCCCTCTTGCATCTGGAACGCCAGGTGGGTTTTTCTGGCATAGGAGCCCACTTGCATTTTCATAGTTTTATTTGATAAAATCCCATCTTACATTCTGTGTATTAAAAAAATAATATTTCTGGTGTGAGGCTGAGGTCTCCTCTGTGTGTGTACCCAAGCTGAAGGGTGGTGAGAAAGGACCACTCCAGTCTGAGGGGTGGAAGAGGTGAGGAAGGGGGCCGGAAAGCCCCCACCTCCATCACAGTGCTGTGGTCTTTCCAGGCTCAGGGGGCAAGTCAGGTGGCAGGGGGAGCCCTGCCGGCAGCATGCTAACCTGACACTCCTGGTCCTGGCATGCTGGAGCATAGTGTGGGGCAGGGTAGCAACAGGGTCCAGGGGGGCAGACACCCCGGCGCCAGGCCCTCAGGGTCAGCAACACAGTAGCCAGAACCAGGGCAGCAGTGAGGGCCCCAAACACCACCAGGGCTACCAAGCTAGGCTCACCTAGCCCAGCCTCTTGCCTCCGCACCACCTCCTTCACTGAGATCCGCAGCAGACCAGCCCCTGCGCTGTGGGGGGCTGGCCCCGTGGCAGGTACCACCACAGCTGAGGTGGGCCCTAGAGGGGTGTCCACTGTGGTTGGGGGGTGTGGGACAGGTAAGATAAGCTCACAAGTCTTGCCACCATAGCCACTGGGGCAGAGACAGTCGAAGTCATGGACACGGTCCCGACAGCGGGCCCCTCTCTGGCATGGGCGGCTGGCACAGTCATCCAGGTTGATGGTGCAGAAGCGTCCAGCAAAGCCCTCAGGACAGAGGCAGGAGAAGCGGTTTATGCCATCAAGGCAGGTGGCACCATTAGCACAAGGCCGCATCAGGCAGTCATCCACGTTCACCTCACAGCGGGCACCCACAAAGCCCACCAAGCAGCGGCATGTGAAGTTGAGGGCAAAGCCCTGGTCATCCTGGCACTGCCCGCCATTGCGGCATGGGGAGCTGCAGTAGGGGTGGGAGAGGACATGAAAGCAACTTAACACCTGCAGGGTAGCCCAGGTCCGTATCCTGACCTCTGCTCACCATGTCACCTTGGGCGACACTCTCCGAGCCTCAAATACCTCATTTTATTTTTTATTTATTTATTTTTGAGACAGAGTCTTGCTGTGTCGCCCAGGCTGGAGCACAGTGGCGCGATCTCAGCTCACTGCAAGCTCCGCCTCCCAGGTTCACGCCATTCTCCTGCCTCAGCCTCCTGAGTAGCTGGGACTACAGGTGCCTGCCACCACGCCCGGCTAATTTTTTGTATTTTTAGTAGAGACGGGGTTTCACTGTATTAGCCAGGATGGTCTTGATCTCCTGACCTCGTGATCTGCCCGCCTCGGCCTCCCAAAGTGCTGGGATTACAGGCGTGAACCACTGCGTCCGGCCAAATACCTCATTTTAAAAATGAGAATAAAAATAGTACCCAGCTTCCCTAATTGTGAGGGTTAAGTGAAATAATCAATATCAAGCAGTTAGCACAGGGCCCAGCCGGAAGGCAAGGCTCAGGATAAGTGTGCTATTATTATCCTTGCAGGCTTCTGGGCCTGATGTGGAAATGAGGACAAGTCCAGCCCTGCAGGCTGTTTCCTCATCCCTACTGTGACGCAGAAGGGTACAGGCCAATGTTCAGGAGAGGATGAGGGAAGACCCAGGCCCCTCAACCTCCCCACACCCACGCTCCCCAACCAGAGCAGTCACACGTTTGTTACCTCTCTAGCTCCTATAGATTGTTGAAGAAATGGCTCAGAAGGAACAAGAAAAGAGTTGAGAAACCCAGAACTAGGAACACTTTGGCATGCAGGGGTTTTATCTGAGTGTCCCTGTGTGGTCTGACCCTCAGTCCCCTACCCTCCCAACAGTCCTGCCTCTTTTCTCATCCCATCACCAGGTTCTGGTCTAACCTTCCACTCACCCCGAGGGCCCAGCACTCACCCTGCCTGTTCACAGGGTCCAGCCTTGCGCTCGCAGTCACGCCCATGGAAGCCTGGTAGGCACACACAATGGTACTCACCGCCCCCGTCATACATGCACTGGCCTCCATTCTGGCAGGGGGACTGCGTGGTACAGATATGTTCATCTGGAGAAGGGACAGGAAAGGCTCTGGGATAACCCCTCCCATCTGGTCCCCAGACCAGACTTGTCCACGCCTTCCAGGCCTCAGGTTCTCTGGGTGTGGCTATATTACAAACCCAGCCCAGGCTGGTGTGGTATACTAGGGAGAGACAACAACACTGAATTTGGAGTCAGGAGGCTCCTGGCCCTGGCTCTCAGTCTGTCTCAAACTGACCTTGGGCTGGGTACAGTGGCTCATGTCTATAATCTCAGCACTTTGGAAGACCAAGGTAGGCAGATGGCTTGAGGTCAGGAGTTCGAGACCAGCCTGGCCAACATGGCAAAACCCCATCTCTACTAAAAATACAAACATTAGGCCGGTGCAGTGGCTCACACCTATAATTCCAGCACTTTGGGAGGCCAAGGCAGATGGATCACTTGAGGTCAGGAGTTCGAGACCAGCCTGGCCAACATGGTGAAACCGTATCTCTACTAAAAATACAAAAATTTGCCAAAGTGGCGGGTGCCTGTAATCCCAGCTACTTGGGAAGCTAAGGCACGAGAATTGCTTGAACCTGGGAGGCAGAGGTTACAGTGAGCTGAGATCGCACCACTGCACTCTAGCCTGGGTGACAGAGTGAGACTCCATCAAAAAACAAAACAAACAAAAAAACAAACCTGACTTTGAGCAGGTTATAGCTCTGCTGTGGGCCTTAGTTTCCTGATCTGTAAAATGAGTACAACTTTTAGCAGCTGCATTTCCTACCCCATGGGGTTATGTTGAGGATCAATTCAGACAACACATAAAAAGTCTAAGATAAAAAAAATGATAAAATACCATGTATTTGAGGATTTGACAAGGACACAATAGGCACTCAATAAATACTGATGGCTGTTCCCCTAAAAACCTGGGGTTCCCAACCAACAACTACCCTTCCTCCCCCCTACCTTTGTCACAGAACTTGCCTGCCCAGCCACTGTGGCAGATGCACTGCCATGGCTGGTGGCAGGTACCATGCTGGCAGCCAGGCATCCTCACACAGCGCTCACAGTGCAGCCCCTCCCAGCCCGGGTCACACCTGATGGAGAGAAACACAGGGTCAGGGTTCTGGGTTGTGGATATGAAGAAATGGAGGAGACAGAACCAGAGCTTCTAGAAACCAAGAGGACATATGACAGCCCCTAAGGGAAAGCAGACCTGTCCCAGGTAGGTGTAGGACTGTGCAAGGTCATAGGACACATATATGGAATCAGACCATCAGACACCAGCTCTCAAACCCTGGTTCTGTATTTTAACCTGAGCCTCAGTCTTCTCATCTGTAAATTGGGTATACACCTTGCAGGGTTGAGTAGAGGAAGAAATAAGATGTCTATAAATGCCTCCAGTACCCCTCCTGGCATGTCTGAGGTGCTCACAAACATTTAAAGAAGAATGACCTTGAAAGGCCATCAGGGCCGGGTGCAGTGGCTCACGCCTGTAATCCCAGCACTTTGGGAGGTCGAGGCGGGTGGCTCACTTGAGGTCAGGAGCTCAAGACTAGCCTGGCCAACTGGGTGAAACCCCGTCTCTACAAAAAAATACAAAATATTACCCGGGCATGGTGGTGCGCGTCTGTAATCCATTATTGAGGAGGCTGAGGCAGGGGAATCACTTGAACACAAGAGGCAGAGGCTGCAGTGAGCTGCAATCGCACCACTGCACTCCAGCCTGGGCAACAAAGCGAGGCTCCGTCTCAAAAACAAAACAAAACAAACAAAAAAAAGTCATCAAGACTATCCTCCCACCATGATTCCAGGGCAAACGCTTGACCCATATTTTAAAAGCCTTCCAGGGATGAAAGTTTCAAAGACCCCCAGCCAATTGAACTGCCTGCCCCATCAGCTCATTTCCTTATGTCCACTTTCCTCCTGCTACAGAATGTGCCCAATCTCCACTCTCCACCCCAGTGAGTCAACTACTCAAACTCATCAAGGAAGACACTCTTTCATTGTAAGTGTTTCTCCCCAGCAACTCTCCCTGCAGCATTTCTTTTCCAGGCTAAACAATTTCCCTTTCTCTCTTTCCTTTATCTTTCCATTTCCTCATGGCACCCAATCCCCAAGCTCTCTAAAGCTTTAGGTCTCTCTCCCTGTATCTTGAGGAGCAATGGTTCAGACAATCCCTGGATCAGATTTGGGAGATTAAAGAAGTGGGGAAATAAAAACTGGAAGAAGCAAGAAAGCTGAGGTAAAAGGGAAAGGGGGGCTAGCCAGTCAGCCATAGGAGTGATGAGGCATGAAGAGTAGAGTGTGAAGCCCCTAGACACTCTGTTGTGCATGTGAAGGGCTTGGAAATGGGTACCAAAGGGTTTGGGGGCACGTGCTCAGGACAGGTACCTGCAGGAGCCGTCAGGTGCACAGCAGCCGTGGGCCAGGTCACAGTGGGAGCTGCAGTCATCGGCTGCAAGAGATTGATGTGGGAGGGGTGAGTCTGAGTCAGGGCACAGCTCGCTGGGATGCGGGACTCAGGAGAGGATTGGGGTTCCGGTAACTGAGTGGACTCAGCTCTAGGGCAGGAAATAACACAGAAACCCATCCCATTCCAAAGAGGCAACCTGGTCTTCCTTGCTTCGCGGGTCGGAGCGACTGCAGTGCCGTCTCCGGCCGGCAGAGGTCAACGTGCAAGCGAGAACGGCTGGACAGGGCCGCGACTGGAGCCCGGTGGACGCGCTCACCTCGGACAGGCTGACCGGGAGCCCCCAGAATGCACAACAGGCACACAAGATGCAGGCAGCGGCAGCCGCTGGGCATGGTCAGCGCCGGCACCAGCGGGGACGGACGGATGGACGGCCGGACGCGTGAACACCTGTGGGACGGCACCAGTTGGGAGGCGGTCGGACGCGGAGATAGCGGCACGGATACGGGTTCCAAGTGACAGGAGCCGCCGAGGGAGAGGAGCGCCGGGACAGAAGAAGGGGATGGGGGTAGCGGGAGGGTGGGGGCAGGGAAGGGTTGAGCAGGCGAGGAGCGCAAGAAGAGCGAAGACAGGAACCCGGGAGCTAGGTCTGCAAGAAGGAGGCGAAAGATGGGCAGCGTGGAGCGAGGCCAGGCGCGGGAATGGCTGGGCCTGGGATCGCAGTCAGGACAGAGGGGTCTGCGGGATGGGGACAGCGCCAAGAGGCGGCCTCGAGCACCGAGGGAACGCGGGGGCCGGAGGGAGGGACGGTTCCCGGCAGCGAGCAGTCTCCGCCCCACGGCTCCGACAGCCCCCCCACCACTCTCTCCCACGTCCCCTTCCTATCTCCGCCGCGCTGGGCTCGGCGGCA